ATCGACGTCATATGATCTTTTTTCTGGTAGCCGGTTTTTCAAACGAGCACTCTGAAAAACTAACAATTTTTGATAGTTTTGTTCTAAACCTATGCATATAATCTTCTCAACATAATCTAATGCATCAGTCTGTAGAAAGATCATTTATTCGTATTTTAGTTTATAATGTTATAATATTATCGAATAGTTGTTCTAATTTTCCATATTTTCGCTTCTTTCAAAAAAAAGTGGGAGGGTGCGCAGCCCCCCTGCACCCCGTGGTCGCCACATCCCTGCTGTTAATTGACAGAAATCAAATTCGACAGGTGTTCGTTGTTCAATAATTGTATTAAGACGAAGATTTAAGTTATAGAATGAGTGCAACAGTTCCATAAGTGAAAGACGTTGGAAAATTTCTATAAAGACTTCGATAGAAAAATTTTCTAACTTTGTAAACATTGTTTCCACTCTGAACAACAAAGAGAAAGTTAACAAGAAGGTGAACCGAAAAGCAGTCACTAGAAAACGAAGTTAGACATATATCGTATAAATAAAAGTTCTTATGTATTTCGCAGGTACCGTTACTTTTCTCTGAGCTCGTTTGATGTTCTTTAGAATTAGGCTTTTGGTATTTTAATCATGATTTTAGGATGTCTGAGAGACTACCTCTCTGGCGAATAAAGCAAAACGTGCAGACATGGCTACAAAGATTGCGACAGTTCGATAAAATAGCCAGCTCATCCCTCTTTCTTTTCACTGATCGAACGAGAACTGCATATCAATTAAGCGAAAATATAGTAAAAATTCTTACATTAATATCTATTCTCTATTCTCTAATCTAATATCTATTCTTAAAATGTAGAGGCCACCGTCAGATAGGCGTTAAGAGAAGAACTCTTAACGCCTATCTATTTTCTCAAAGAAAATATCAGCCTAAAATGGCTGATTAGAACTTGTAGATCATTTTTTGAAGTGTTCTATCTTTACCAAGTATTACTCCGAAGCTATGACTACTCCCAACAGAATGTTGCTCAACCGATCTCACCGATTTAACTAATTTTTCTCTAGTAAGTAGACTTAATATAGTTGCTTTCTCCGAAAGGTATCTTCATACCAACTATCTTTTGAAAAAAGAAGGAAAGTCACAATTTTTGGCACTTGTTGATTCACGGTGTGCTCAGTGTGCTCAAATTTTTTTTTTCGGTAAACAAACCTAAGAATACAGTAAATATACAGGTTGACAGAGGATTTCAAGCTCTATCAGAATATATAATTGTTTGTAAGTGATTCTATAGAGAGAGAAAACTTCAAAATCTAACTGTGACGATAGTGACAAAATCAAGTTTATGGAAATCTGGACACAGAGGTGCCTTCATTGCACTCAAGTAATTCTAGTAATTAATAGGTCCATACTTAAGCCTAATTATATAGGATGATAGGAAATTTCACGGGCTTTCAGAATATATAATTATTATTGGAAAAAATGTGTTTTTATGGCAACAAAATATGTAAAATACACAGGAAACTATTTTTTTCACGGGTATAGCTTATTTTTTTGTTTCTGTCGACAGAGCTGTCGAGAGATATGCATTCCGACGGAATTGGAATTTCACAAGTAATGGAAAAAATCAAAAATTTTTATTTAAAAATAATCAGTAGGCCACATAGTTGCTTCACCAGTGGCATAGAACGATTTAATTTTTTGATACTGATTCGTTGACAGATTAATATTACGAATCATAGTTGTTTCATCTTCGTCAATCTTAACAATTCTCCCCAAATTTTTCTCAATCCATTGTCGATCAACGAAAATTGGGGTTGCTGCTAATCGAATTTGTTTTGAATGTAACTGTTGAGCTTTATACGATGCTTGTACTAGTAATTGTTGTTCAATTTCTCGATTTATTGCTTGCCATTCAGACACAGAACATATCCCATCATCATGATCACTATTGCTTCTGTTTAAGACAATGTAACCTTGTTCAGGTATGACATGAAGAATAGCTTTATCTTGTTGCCAATTCCAATTGAGCCAACCTTCAAAATACTCACGAGAACGGTCGAGTTGAAAAGGTCTTGGTTGTTTAGCGTAAATATTATTAATCTCCTCATCAGTATGCGCCGTTTTCCAGCTGAACTTCGACGAAATAGACACATCATCAATATTTTCATTTAAATCGATTAAAATTTGTCTACTTAAACTATGTTGCTCAAAACCAATATATTCAAAATGCGAATTTCGAAGACTATTAAGCATTGATATATAAAAACCTTCATTTTTCATTTTATCAATTGCTTGTTCAAGCAAACGACGAGAAATACCACGTTCTCTATACTCAGGCAATGTGGCTACACAAGCAATACCACCACACAAATATGTTTCATTACCATTACGGAACGTTAATCGACAGATATGCACAGTACTGACAAGTGATCCATTACACCAAGCACCTAATGTATCACCATATCGATAAGATGGTGCTGCTAATGAGTAATAACGCGGAAAGAAACCTCGAGCAAATTGAGTAAATATTTGTTCCCATAAATTAATGGCTTGTTGTTGTTCATTTTCACTAACAGGATGATAATCGATGGATGTAGTCATGTTGTGTCGTTTTTCGTTAGAAAATATAATACTTTTATCAGTGTAGACATGTATAGGGTGTCCAGTAAATCCTTGAACAAAGAAAAATTTGAATATCTTCAGTACTGTCAAACGGGCTCGTCTTTTTTACCAAGGACAGAGGGATGTTCGCACTTCAAATCCATACGGATAAGTTTAATGCGAACCTTTGTTATGTGTCACTATTGACTTTAACAAAAAAATTGTACTTTTTCACCGATAGAAAAAGCAATATATAGAAATAGCCCAAAAGTCACTTTATCGAAAAGAAAACCGAATATCTCCATTTTAGCTCGAGCAAATCAGCTGATTTTTTTTACCAAGAACAGACGCATGTTCACGCTTCGAATCCATAGGAAACAAGGTTAGCGAATTTTTGTTAAGTATATGGTTCTTTTCTCCTATCTGTGAAAAAGTAAAACTTTCTTGCTGAAGTCACTAGTGATACATAACAAAGGTTTTGGTTAACCTTATTCCTATGGATTTGTGATGAGAATATCCCTCTGTCCTTGGTAAAAAAGACGAGCCCGTTTGGTGAAACAGTACTGAAGATATTCAAATTTTTCTTTGTTCAGGGATTTACTGGACACCTTATATATTAACACGGAGCTATTCGACCTTTGTTCTTATGTTTTTTTGTTATAATGTCTATTTATCTATGATGGAAATTTCTTTCTTTTCTCTATTTCCTTATCGTATAGATGACACGTATGATATAAACACATATATTTTCCTTCTCTTTCCTATCGTCGAGCCTTGAGAACCTTCGTATAAAAAGTCGATTGTGACCGAGTTTAACAAACAACTACCGATTTATAAATGATTGTTGTGTTTTCTGCGCCTAAAATATTTAATTTTGTTTACAACAGTTCAAAAGATTTCTCTCATTTTTACATATCTACAATTTATTTAAAATTACCTGAGAAAACAATATAATTCACGTTCATACTCACCATCATTTGATTTAAAATAAATTGTAAATATGTAAAAATGAGAGAAATCTTTTGAACTGTTGTAAAAAAATTAAATAATTTAAGCTAACAGTTTGTGGATGGCTACCTGGGCCGATATGTAAGTATTAAAAAAGCTTTATCTTTTATCAATTTTGGTTTGGGCGAGCTGTATTTAAGGTAGAATAAAATCTGGTTTCAACCTCAATGCATTAAGTCGCTCAGAAAACAATCGATCGGACCGAAAGTTCCACTCAGGATACCGTTAACGATATCTAAGATGTCTTTGTTTTTGTTCCGTGTAAATAGAAAACATATGCTGTAAGTTTTATTATTTTTCTATACTGATCTTTTTTTACAAAAGTTTCGATTGCACTTTTTAAGCAAATTCAGGATTTAAGAACCCTTACTGCTTCACCTCGAAAAAATTCATTTCTATTTAATAGTGGCGAAAATGTCGTTCAGAAACGAGTATAGCTTGTGTCGATCAAGTGCTCGTTTGTTGTTTTGGAAGGCACTAAAAAGAATTACCGGATTACGAAAGATCATCGTAAACAACTCTAAAGCACGTTAGATTGCTCATGCATTATTCAAAAATTTCCTCTAGTGCTTGTGGACATGAATTTACCAATTTGCTATATTCCGACACCGTTGTTTATGTGCGCTATTTTGCTTTGATTATATAGATCCGCTGAAATTTAAAGAAGTTAACTGATGTTTTTAACAATGAGATGTTTTTAACTTTTGAAAGTGTACCAGAGTTTATATCAACTTAGGCTGAGTACTTTCGCAGAAAAGTATTTTTTCAGCTAAAACACCACAGGATTTTCGTCTGTTTTTAAAGTACTTGGCCAAAGACAAAAACCTGTTTTTCTAATAGCCCACGCCGAGTACATGCGAGATATATGTCATCCCAGGTTCTGGAATCCCGTAGAATAGTGCACCATGTACTCAAACTTTGAAAAATGAGGAAAATCGCCTTTAAGAGCTATTTTTTTCTAATTGCAATACAAATCCCTTCATTGGATAGAACTTGAAAAGACGCAACGAATGCACATTTTGTTGTCTTGTGATGATGTGATTTTATGGGGGGAAAATGGTTTACAAAAAAGGCCTACTTTTCGGAAAAAACGACCTCTGAGAACATGCTTAACATTTTGGAACTTTTTGTCCGCTAGTGATTTTGTAGCTCTGAACATATAGAAGCTAATCTGACGGTACCAGCTCATGAAAGTGTTTCACTAAAAAATGACGAAAATGCCTACAAAGGACTATTCTGCGGGGAAATGGGATTTGCACGGGTCTAGAAGACCACGATGCCGTTGTTTTAGAACTTTTTAAATGTGATATTCGTCATTAGGAGCCCGAGTTTTACTAGTCCTGTTACTGCCGAACAATCCGGACAAAGTCGATGTAAACGTGGTACGTTCTCGAAAGAACAACCCAATCCTTTAATTCAGAAAAAAGCGTCAATGGCTGATTGCCACTCAGCATGTGCATATTCACATTGATGAATTTATGAATAAATGTCTGATTCTTATTCTAATATATCTGCTGCTAATAGAATCGATTAATATTTTTTACTTTTTATTATTTCTAATTTTTTATTATTTCTAATTTTTTAAGAAATGAAGATCTAAAACTTTTACTCTATCTTCTTATCCTACAGTGTTATGTCTAGAAATTAGAAGAATATGAAAATTTTCACTGACAGATTCTGGAAAACTTATCTCGTCAAAGTTTTATTTGCTAAAATAACTTTTTTATGAAATGTCTCTAGTCTAAATTCTTAGATTTCAGTTTCTATGTATTATGACGTGTGAGAGATATCATATTTTTGGAGTTGTATATACAATTGCTACAGAACTGTCCACATGCTATAATTGCTACAAAACATGCGAAGTAAATTGTTTTCGCATACATAATGTAGATAGAAATCCACATAATTCACACAACTGCGGAATACGCTGCTAGTAGAAGAGTTTTTCTTTACGTATTGATTTATCTTTTAATATTTTTGTATAGGTTCTTTTAATTTTGTTGTAGATTATGTGACATGTGGTAATTGGATACATTAATATGGGGAATATTTAACGAGAAATTTTTTGGTACAAAAAGACATTTAAAACTCATCAGAGATATAAAGTTGTATTTTAGATGAAAAAACTTTCATTAGCATATTTCTTCTATTTTTGACTGAGTAAGACCATAAGTCCATTTTGAATAAAATAAATGTTGTGCGAGATTTTGATCCCTTTATTAAGAATAATAAGTGAGAAAAACATGTTTTGTTGAACTTTTGGATTATTACAACCAATTTTAATTTCAAATTTGACTTAACAGAAGATGCTCTCTGATGTGTTTCTAAGTTCTATTTGTAGAGAAAAACCTTTTTCAATAAAAAAGTACTCAACGTTTTCGAATGTTTTTCTTCGATGGCCTAAACAAACATTTTATCTGACGATCGTTTCTGTTATTATGACGATTTTTACTTTTTAAATATAATTCATTTAAGTCAGTTTTTGCTGATTTTCTTGTTTTAAACATAATGTTTAACAAATATTTTTCCCTATTCAATTTTTTCTATTGTTTGTATTCTATTTTATTTGCTATACAAATTGAATTGCCACTATGGCCACAATAATAATCAGGGAATAACTAGAAAAGACATTAAACACTTGCTGACTAAAGAACGGGGACGATTATTTGATGGAATCGGCTTCTGCTTGAATTCCATCAACACATACATGGTTCGATGCAGAATGAACAGGAGAACATTTCTAGCCACTCGGCAGACCTTAGAAATCCTCTCAGAAAAAATTGAGTCCAATTAACTGTAATCACTTCTGACAAAATATAAAATAATCTCCTATATGCAAACAGTCTAAGATAATCTATGACACCCTTTATCATCTAGCCACTACGATAGATATACCAACCGATAGAGAATTTCTTGCGCTACCATTTCATGTATGTAACATAGTGACAAAAGTGTCCTAGGGCATCTTGACATTAGAAATACTTTCTGCCAAGCCGTGAAAAGCAGGTGAATTCTTCCACGATGAGGATCCTATGATCAACGTTTCTCAACTACCCACTACGATAGATATACCATTCAATAGAGAATTTCACGAGCTTCAAAATGAGCTATAAATAAACCTTTCAGAAATATGTCCACATGGGTCAACAGTTGAAACACTTGGTCGATATAATGATTTTGACGTATCCTAGTGCTTTCAACACTCCGTTAGTCGTTTTTCTGCCATAATAAAAATTATGTATTGTTCGAAAACATACCACTGGATAGCCCTTGAAATTCTCTATAAAGTGAGCGGATCACAATATTCGGACAGGTCGGGCCAGCCATTAAAGATATGGAAAAGAAGCTTTTGGGTGTTATCTAAGCACTACAGTGTGTTATAATCACAAGAACTCTCTTGTTTTGGACCTTTTAGTAAAAGCTGGAACCAATCTGAATAATGTTTCGAATAGCCCGAAGATTTTTCTATCAGATTAGGTGTATATCGGTCTTTCATAAAAAAAGTTGATAACAGAGCTTCTGGAAAACCTGACCGCTGAAAAACCAAGTCCATAGTTTTTAGTGAGAAAATTTTGCAAACCATACAGCCTGATAGAGCGAAACATTCTGAGCAAAATAAGGCTTCTCCGGGCATTCTGTAGTGCTTTTTCACGCAACTGCAGTCGATTTACCACTAGCCAAAAGGGGCGTGAAAGGTACCAAAATATTGCGGTGAAAAAGCACTATAGAATGCCCGGAGAAGCCTTATTTAATACTTACATATCAGCCCAGGTAGCCATCCACAAACTGTTAGCTTAAATTATTTAATTTTTTTACAACAGTTCAAAAGATTTCTCTCATTTTTACATATTTACAATTTATTTAAAATCAAATGATGGTGAGTATGAACGTGAATTATATTGTTTTCTCAGGTAATTTTAAATAAATTGTAGATATGTAAAAATGAGAGAAATCTTTTGAACTGTTGTAAACAAAATTAAATATTTTAGGC